AACTTGCCCTGGCCACCCAATCCCCCTTGGGTCCCTCCTCAAGACAAATCCAGGCATGGATGCTTGAGCTAGCCTGAGGGCCCAGGTTGCTTTGCCCCCTTATGGGATAGACCCCCGTATATTAACCGCAAAAGGGCATGGCTGGTCCCAATGATGGGTAAGACCCTCCCAGACTGATGAATCCAAGACAGGGGCCATGAGGGCAATCATGGTTACCCAAGGACGGGCAACTTCAGTGCCTGAGGAGAAGCAACCTAAGACAGAGAGGCCATAGCAGCGGAGGGGGATGGGGACGGTGCGCCCCGTCCCCAGGGGCTATCCTTAAGGAACTTCACTTTTAAAACAAAGTAGGGGGAGAGATGCAGGGGCCTGAGGCCAAGGACAGGGCAAGATGGTGCCTAGAGGAAGTGGCTGGGGCGAAGCCAGACTTGTTATGAAGAATCGCTGATTGGCTCCTGCCATTTCCGTGCATCTTGGCAGCACATGATCACCTCACGAACACTATGCTGTGCTATGGAGAGGAGACTGCATGCTCAAGTTGACCTTTAACATGATTGGACACTTGGCTGGGGAGGGGATTTTCCTTCGTGGTTTTTGCCTTCATAAGCCCTGTAATGCCTGCAATAAACGAGTTCCTGCTTGACTGGCTCCCTGTCACGTCTGATTGTCTCCCGGGGAGGCTGCGGGTAACAGGCGGACAGCTCACCTCCCTTTCCCCAGCTCCTGTGTCAGGGCAGGACCCCCGACAGCTAAGGACATGGGTTCAGTTCCCAGAACTCTCATGGCAGCTAACAACTGTAACTCTAGTTCCAGGGGATCCGACGCCTTCTTCGGGCCTCTGTGGGCACTGTATACACATGGTGCACTTATCTACATGCATGCAAAACACTCAAACACATAAAAATAAATAAAAATCACAAGTATTTCAAGCCCTATAAGGCTTTAACCTTTTTCTACAACTACATTGTACAAATGGGTTTTCCATAACCCATAGCCTTTTCCCATAACAATATTGTACAAAAACCATTTGTTTTTCAGAACTGAAAAGGATAATAAAAGTTATTCTCATATTCAAAGAGTCTCTTAAATTTATGGTTTTTAATAACTGGCATTTCCATTCAGCAGGATACTACTCATGATGTCTGTACAAAGCTATTTTTATTATAGCAAGTTGAGGGAAACAGAACATTTCTGAGCTGGTTCACAATGCAACGCACCTTTCCAGCTGTGTAGATGTATGCTGTGTAGGTGTACGCTGTGTAGGTATGCGCTCTGTAGGTGTGTGCTGTGTGGGTGCGCGCTGCGTAGGTGCACACTGTGTAGGTGTGTGCTGTGTAGATGTATGCTGTGTAGGGTGTGCTGTGTAGGTGTACGCTATGTAGGTGTACACTCTGTAGGTGTGTGCAGTCTAGGTAGGTGTGTGCCGTGTAGTACATGTGTGCTGTGTAGGTGTGAGCTGTGTAGATGTACGGCTATGCTACGCAGGAGGGTAGTGCAACAAAGATGGTTTCAGTGTTGACCTGCTGTTAAGATAACACAGTCTCACTGGACATTTTTTTGTCCTATTAACAGAGGAGTATACCGTTGCCGAGCTCTGAGCACCAGGAGGGAATCTCCCTCAGACTCGACTTCCTCTGCTATAAAGAGCTGAAACCAATTGACTCACGCTGCTCCAGCCTACCTGGGGGTGGGGAGCAGTTGTTTCAAACAGTGTAGTAAAGTCTGCTCTAAGTGGCCCTGGTGGGAAGCAGATGGGACACAGAAGCACAGCTGGCTGCAACAGTTCATACCACACAGCATGGCTCTGTGACACTTAACAACAGCCAGTACCTTTTACACAGCAGCATATACGCAACTGAATGCACAGGCCATTACCTGTGCAAGAACAGGCTACGTTTAGCCATCAAACTTGGTACAGAAGAAGCAAGCAAGGCAGGAGTGCCTCGTGCAGACGACAGTAGGTGCTGGGAGGTGATGGAGAATGAGCAGGGGAAAGAATGGGGGGGATCATCCAGGAAAGAGCAGCCAGACCACACAGGCCTCATGCCTCTCTCCCCACACTTTGATTTGTATTCTGAGTAAGATGGAAGCTAGTTAAGGGTCTTTTTCTGTTCCTTTTTTTGCAAAGTCAGGAATCAAAACCAATGCCTCACACATGCTAGGCAAGCACCCTACCACTGGTACACCCTCTGCCCCAATGAGGTACATCCTCACTCCTAAATCAAGGAGTGACTTGATCAGAATTATACAGAAAAGTTGGAATAGGTGAAGGCCGAAGCCAGGAGAGGTGAAGATCAAGAGTGGGCTTCAACTGCCATTGGCCACTCTTTATTTGCAAATAAAGAGGAAGCAAGGGTCACTGGAGGCACCCAGGACAATGCTGGCATTCTGTAAGAGGGTAAAGAATGAGGGAGGGACCATCACAGGAAGAGAGGGGCAGAAGCTGAGGCTGTGAGAATGTGGAGATGCTGAGCAGGCTATGGGATCCTGGAGATAAGCCTCTGGGAGGAGACCTGGCTGAAGACGGGCATTGAAATGTTGCTCAAGTAAGATGGTATCTACTGCCATAAGCCTCCATGAGAGAGCAAGAGAGTATGGAAAACTGGAGGGGAGTGTGTGTCCTGAGCCTGCCCTGTAACTCTGCTATGTGGAGGTCATAGGAAAAGGCAAGGAAACCTGAGATGTGCAGGGTCCTGGGAAGGGACAGCTGGTCTGGGGGTGGAAAAAACACCACAGCTGAGAGAAGACAGGGCTTCACCTCGTAAAAGGCTGCAGTAACAGTGCCACCCCACCTTCTGCACTCCATCCACTTCACTAACAACCCAGTCTGACTAGCACAGGCCGCCCACACCATCCTTTAGCTTCCTCACTGCTGGTGCACAGCACGTCTTCCTCTCACATAATGCCACTCTGCATAGTAACGACCCGAACAGCTTAAGGTCACTGATGGTTTGATAAGAAACTTGCATTTGAGGACTTAAAAATTTAGGTTTTTTTTTTTTGAGATGGTCTATGTTGCCCTGGCTGGCTTGGAACTTGCTATATAGATCAGGCTAGCCTCTAACTCAAAGATCCACCTGCTTCTGTCTCCTGAGTTCTGGGATTAAAGGTGTGTAACCACCATGTTTGGCTTCCGCACTCTAAATCCCAGGAATACTACTGGCACTGAAAATAAATACTGTTTAAGCACACATCATAACTTCTGATCATTTAAGGCTCATTTAAGGCTCAGTTCACAAGACTACTTGGCTACAGAGCAGACAGTTCCCCCTTCCTCTGGACTCATTCCAATGCTTTGGTAGTCACACTCTGCGTTAGGTAATGGCTAGTTGTTTACTTATCTGTGTCTTTTACAACTGTAAGACTCCGGGGGGGCAATGAAACCATCCGTTCATCTTTATAGCCCACTCTGCCTAGCACAGTGTTTTGTATACAGCAGGTCAAGAGACATGGTGATATTGTTACCAGGCCAAATTTATGTCTGTATTTACTTGGCCGTTGTATGCACATGGCTACTTTGTAGGAAGTATGTTGTACTGTCTTATCAGATTATGTGTTTATTCAACGCATTCATTTTGTTTCCTTTTTCTTTTTGGGGGTGTTTGAGACAAGGTTTCCCTGTAGCCCCAGCTGGTTTCCATTTCACAGAGATCCATCTGCCTCTGCCTCCTGAGAGTTGGGATTAAAGTTTCCTAAATTTTGGTGTTTGTTCTTGTTTCCTTTTTGGAGGCTCTCACTATGTAATTTTGGCTGGCCTGGAATTCGCTAGGTAGAGCAGTCTGGCCGATTCAGAGATCCACCTATCTGTCTCTCAAGAGCTGGGATTTAAAGGCATGCACCTGGTGTTAAATTTTTAAGATTATAGTACCTAGGCAATCTATGCGACCTTAGACTTTTTATACAAAGACAAAAATGGTAAATTATATATGTAAGCAATTTGAAAGTATTTAAAAGACAAATTTTTTGGGGGTGGTGAGATGGTCTAGTGGGTAAAGGAGCTTGCCACTAAGCCAGATGATTTGAGTTCAATCCCAGCTGTCATTTGACTGCCACAGACATGCTACAGCATGAACCCTGTGCCCCAACAACAACAAAAAAAATTTAAAGGAGTATTTTTGAGGGATACATATGAACTTGAATTTCCCTTTTTCTAAATCAAAACATTTAAATATAGCCAGGCATGGTGGTGCAAGCCTTTAATCCCAGCACTTGGAAGGCAGAAGCAGGTGATGGATCTCTGTGAGTTCAAGGCCAGCCTGGTCTACATAGTGAGTGCTAGCTGGGACTACAGGAGATCCTGTCTCAAAAAGAACACCCCTCTAAATTTTTAAAATATTGGGTAGATTTTTTTTTTTTTTCTTTGCTTAAACTTTTTTTTTTTTTTTTTTTGGTTTTTTTGAGACAGGGTCTCCCTGTAGCTCCAGCTGTCCTGGAACTCACTATATAGACCAGGCTGGCCTTGAACTCACAGAGACCCACCTGCCTCTGCCTCCTGAGTGCTAGAATTAAAAGCATGCAACACCACGCCCAGCTGCTTAAACTTTTTATGTTAAGGTTTTGCTCTATTTTATACAAGTTTTAAATTTTCTTTTTGAGAAGATCTCAAAAACCTGCATTCTAGGTTGGTTTCAAATTCATTATACAGCTCAAGATGAGTGTGAATTTCTGATCTTGCCTTTTCTTTAGTGTTAGTTTATGCAGAGCTGGGGGATCCAGTACAATGCTAGGGATGGAACCCAGGCTGTCTTGCACACTAGGCAAGCACTCTATCACCTGAGCTACATTTCCAGCCCTTAAATTCTCACTTTGCTCAATTTTTTTCTTTCTCCCTCTTAAGGAAAAAGACTTATATCTTCCTGGACCTTTACTCCAACTTTTGTAAAAGAGCAGCTTTAATGAAACATCATGAACCATTCTGGAAAAACCACAGTGCAGATCAAAGAACAGAACCGAATTTACTCTCCGGTACAGAAACAGCACAGCAGTCTGCTGGTACTGACCTGCGCACGAACTTGGAAGTGATCTTGCTTATTATGCCCGTGGATGTCCCCCTTCTGGCATGTGCGAATGCCCCCGTTTCGTGGGATGGGGAGGCAGGTGGCCCATTATAAGCCGCACTGCGTCGCTCCCGGAGCTGCTCCCCATGGAACGTGCTTCTGCTGGAGCTCCCTCGGGGGAAGCGGGTCCGGTCTGGAGTGGCAGCACTGATACTGTGCGCAGATGGAGAAGCAGCAGGCACTCTCTGGCTTGTGCTGCTGGGACAAATTAAGATATATTATTCAGAATAACGACAGCTTTCACTCAGGCTAAAAACTGGGGAGGGGTGAGGCTGTGGCTGCTGCTGTTGGTCTAATTATTTTTGTTCACACTAGAGACGGGAGGCACGGTAATTAATTTATTATATCATCACGGAAGGATAAGATAGCACTATGAAACCAAATGCTTTTTATAAAAATTCGGCTGCTAAAGATTAAGAGATTAAAGACACAAAAGGACACAAAGACAAACACTGTTCAGTATTTTCACTATGAAATCTGCAAATCTGAAACCTAAAATGCTCCAAAATCCAAAATTCTTTTGAACACCGATAAGGCACTATAAGTGAAAGATCCCACATGTGACCTCATGTGAGAGGTCACAATCAGAATGAAGCTCTGTAGACACTGTCTATAGTCATCTTCAGGCTGTGTACGGAAGGCATGTAAGAAACCTAAATGAATCCATGTTTAAATCTGTGTCCCATCTTTAATATGTGTCATTATGTACAGGCAAATATTTCCTAAATCTGAAAACATCCAAAATCCAAATGGCTTCTGGTCCCAGGAATTTCAGATGAGGAACACCGATTGCACTGCTTTTACCTTAGGTGTCTTAGTAATGCACAACATGAATTTTATTGTTTACCAAAAAACCTTTAAAGGCCAGCACAGTGGCACATACCTTTAATCCCAGTACTCGAGAGGCAGGGATAGGTGGATGTCTGTGAGTTTGAGGCCAGCCTGGACTATATAGTGAGGTGCAGGGCAACTAGGGCTATTGGGAGACCCTGTTTCAAAACAATACCCAAAATCCCCAACCAACCAACCAACCAACCAACCAACCAACCAACCAACCAACCAAGCAAAAACCACCCCAAAACCTCCAAACAAGAAAACAAAAATATTTAAATACAATCATTTCCTCTTTCTAATTTAGACCTCAGCTACAATGTGACTAATAAAAGCTAATTATCCAAGCATTAAAATGTTCAGATGTTCTGACTTTGAGAAATCGTACAAGAGGCAAAAATGAAAAAACAGCTGTGTAATTCAGACCGGAATAAGCTCCTTGAGTTCATCTGCTTTACTAATAGCAACAGCAACTCATACGACGCAGAGGCCTTACCTAGCCTAGTGCTTGCCTTTGTGAGTTTAAATAACAAGCCTGGGGCTGGAGAGATGGCTCAGCGGTTAAGAACACTAGTTGTTCTTGCAGAACAAATCCCAGCACCCACATGGCAGCTAACAACTGTCTGTAACTCCAGTCCCAGGGGATCCGACAGCCTTTTCTGACCTCCACGGGCATTGCACAACACAGGTGCACTTATCTACATGCGGGCAATACATGCATGCACATAAAATAAAAAAAGAAAGGAGGCTGGAGAGATGGCTCAGCGGTTAAGAGCACTGACTGCTCTTGCAGAGGACCTGGGTTCGATTCCCAGCACCCACATGGCGGTATGAACCGTCCTTAACTCCAGTTCCAGGGGCATCTGAAGCCCTCTTCTGACCTCTGCGGCATTGCACGACACGGGTGCACTCACATATATGCATGTAATACACTCATATACATAAAATAAAAAAAAAAAATAAAATAAAATTTAAGAAAATCTTTAAAAATAAATAACAAGCTTCACTTTACTTAATTTTTGTTTCATAGTTTTTATTTTTAATTTTTATTTTATGTGTATGAGTGTATTGCCTGCTTGTAAGTGAGTGTACCCATGTCATGCAATGCTGTGGAGGTCAGAAGAGGGTTTCGGATTCTCCTGGAACTGGAGTTAAGGACGGTTCGTAGCCATCATGTGGGTGCTGGGAATCGAACCCAGGTCCTCTGCAAGAGTAGTCAGTGCTCTTAACTGCTGAGCCATCTCCCTTATTTTTTAAAAAAATTATTATTTTTATTTTATGTGTATGAGTGTGTTGCCTGCATGTATGTAAGTGCACTCGTGTCATGCAGGGCTGTAGAGGTCAGAAGAGGGCGTCAGATCCTCTGGAACTGTAGTCACAGATAGTTATGAGCTGCCATGTGGGTGCTGAGAACTGGATCTGGGTCCTCTGCAAGAGCAGCCACTATTCTTAGCTGCTGAGTCATCTCTCCAGTCCCAAACTTCACCTGATTTTTTTCCACTAATGTGTGTGTGTGTGTGTTTGTGAAAGAGAGAGAGAGAGAGAGAGAGAGAGAGAGAGAGAGAGAGAGAGCAGCTGTGTGCCTCTGTACCACAGCACGCACATGTGGAGGTCAGTGGACAATTCCTCCTGGGAGTTGGGATTGAACTGAGGTTGTCAAATGTCTACTGGCTGAGCCATCATGCCAGTCCCTCAATTACTTAAATGATAAATTAGGCAGCAATACTTATGGACAGATTAAAAATAAAATCCTTTAAGAATATTCTTCAGGAGAATGATTTAAATTATAAAGCAACATTCTGGATAACTGCAAATAGCAAGTGCCTATTACGATTAAACTTTTCCTCTCCAGGCCCTTCATTTAGGTGCTGGCACTGACACATACTTTCACCTTCTACAACAACAGGGGAAGCAGGACGTTACCCAGGTCGGTACGCTTCAGAGCCGTCTTTAATGGTTGGCAGTGTGACTTTGATAGGATGGCCAGAGGTGGACATGGACTTCTGGTGGCGGGGTCGTGCTGAGGGGACACCAGAGGCTGCAGCGGGGCCTGTAGAGGAAATACTGCTGGCAGACATCTCTGTGAGGCTTTGACATAAAAGAAGAGAAGGCACAGCTTACCAGAATGCAGAAAAGAGATCAAAAATCTAAATTAACACTTTCATGACCAAACACTTGAAAGGCACATCATCAGGGACTAATGGACTGAGGTCCTTGTTTTCAGTGTCTGGGGTGAAGTCCTCACTCTTCCACTGAAGAGCGTGCACAGACACTTGTTCTGAATGTGAATCTGAGAAGGCGGGGCATTTCTGTAGATGGGCTGCTCACTGCTGGAGATGCGGTTCACTGATTCCAAGAACAACTTTGTGTGATGTGTTGCTGTAGTGGATCTTCTGAAATTATTCATGTTTAAGATTCCATCAGTATATGAAGATCACTATTTCTGTAAACAGCACCTTTTAGCTCACATCACAGCATTGACACAGACCAAGAAGAACAGGTAAACTACTGGGGATTTATGGATCTGCATATTAGTACTCAGTATAGGAAAAATAGTAAGTTGGAAATCAGTTCTCATCTGTCTATCCTAAGGGTGTGACACCGAGGAACATACAGTTATCCTTGGGCTTTCTAGGAAAACTACTTTACAAGCCTAGTCACTGAAAGAAAAAAATGTGAGAAGGGTGTGCCCACTCTACTGGGATCACCAGAGGTGGGGCTTAGGACAGAATTTCATTAGCCTGAGCTCTGTATCATTTTCAGCTTTACTGAATAATCTCCCCAACTCATAATGAAATGTCCAATTTCTTAAAATAATATAGTTTATCACTTTTTACAATAAAATACAGTAAGAATTTGGTGGTTCTGACTGATTGAGATGGTCACGTTTCTTTAGAGGACGGAAAAGAAGCCTTTGCTATTTGGGTATAATAGAGTCGGTGGGAGGCACCATGGAGGCACGTGCATAAAGAAAGGATTTGGTCATGAGGGTCAGACTAGGATCGCAGGAGCTGCTTTGGTTCTGGGAGATATTCACTCTCACACTTTATTCAGAATGTCGAAGGCTAAGAGGTTTACTTCTTGCCTTCCCTAAATACACTCCCACCTGGTACAGAGCGAGCCACTCCAGGGAGGAGGGCTCCCCGCAGTCTGTAGTTCCAAGCTTCCTTTCCTGCCCTTCCTATGTACAGACATCTCCGCTGAGCACTAGTAAGGAGCACTAAAGGTGGTACTGCGGGCCCTGCTGCCCTCACCTGCTGTCTCTTCCATTCTGCAGCGTGTACCGATCCGTGGTCCTCTCACACACATATGTGTTCCTCCTCGCCATGCTGCCTCCAGAATAAACGTTGTTCTTAAAGAGAAAGACACCTCAATTTAAAAATGAACCATCTGTGTGTGGAGTCCAAGAAATGCATTTAAAACTGTGAATGAATTGAAAAACTTCATAGTAAATTTTGATTGGAATCTCACATAAACAAGACCTATCTCTTCTGCTTTTCCTGATTTCCCTTTTATATATACATACACACACACACACACACACACACACACACACACACATATATATATATATATGAAGAAGCACTTCATTACAGCTTTAGCATACTCAGTAACAGATTCCAGAGCAAAGATACATCTCTTTCAAAAGTGGCTATAAAATTTTTAGGTTCACTGTTGAATTAATAGTTATACAATATTGAACTCTGTATAAACTCTGTAAAATATAAAATTGAATGAGTTTTTAACCTTTAGAAAAGATCTCCATTTCATTTTAAAATATACTGCTTCTTACAGAAAGACTCATTGTTTTTGCTAATAACACTGTGATGCTGGCACATGCGTCTCTAATCTGTATGTACTGATTATTGCTAGTCATAATCGGTTGCACTCGGATCCTTGGCACCTGTGTATGTCTATAAAGTCATCAGGTAGATTTCAATGGTAATGTTTATTAC